TAGCATTAGAATCCACAGAATCGACAAATTTGCTCCAGAAACCGTCCCAACTCTCGTCTTCTCTTCCAGAAAAAGTTGGTAAACTAAGTGATGGCAATTTGACTTCTGGTGCTGTCTGTTTCTGGGAAGTTGTGGTTACAATATTTATATTAGCTTTATGGGCATGTATGATATCATCAAAGTATTGCAACTGTGTAAACATTGTATCTTCATAATCGGAATGTTCTTGTATAACATCTTGTAATGTTTCTCCACCAACACTGGTATTCTGAAGTAAAACTTGATAGTCTTTCATTTGTTGCAACACACGGTCATATTTGTTCCGTGCAAGCCTAAGATAATTTTCCAATGCTACATAGTTAACTGGAGTTTGTTTACTTATGTCATCACATGTGCTAATCTGCCGTGATAAATGATCCCTCAATCCTGTGAGGGTTATTTGGACATTTTTGACAGTAGACATTTTGGAAGTACTTGTTAGTCGTATAGACTATATTAAATATACACTGTAAAATCATACACACTATAATTTGAGTGGTAGACCTGTATCAATGCTGGTATCCGCAAGTTAGCCCATCATTATCACTCTTGGTTGGTACAGAGACACAGGTTAACACTCAAAGGTGAAATGATTATAGTTAAATTGTACTAATGTTATATTGATATCATATTGACAACACAACTCGGGTTGTCTTAAATACTGCATAAAAATATGTACTTGCTAGGTTGTAATATGTGTTCAACTCTAGACAAGTGTAAAATTCTTACCCTTACACCAGGTTAGCACAATAAATTAGACTAGGTTGCTGTACAACACCAGCCTAAAATGTTCTACCCTTGTGCAAGAATTAGTAGTAAATGATGTGGCATGCAGTAAATGTTACAGTAATGGCAATAATAATGCAATAATACAAAAAAACATATATAAGTAACTTATAAGTAAAGTAGCCTCTTATCAACCTCTTGTAATGAAATGAAAAAACACAATTGTTCCTTTGGTACTGTCAGAACAATAATAGTGCTTGTTGTAAGTTCTGTTTGCTATGAGATTGAAAAGTTAGGCTAGCAAATGCAAAAAATATAGCAGTGTCTTCCTGCTATAATGTGTGGGTAATATTGCACTATCACTATATGTATGTATAATATCTAGTTCAAAGAACTAAATATAATCCGGTTCGAAGGACCAAACAATGTGGGGAAAAATCCAGGCAGCTAAACTCTCTTTTTCAAATTGATTTAATAAAATATAGTTATGTCTTATTTATTTTCTTAGTAAGTATTAAGTGGACTGTATGTACTGGTAAACTGCCTGAAATCTTCTTACACACTATTGGGAGGGACAATTGGTAGCCTAAACCACTTTGTTATGGTCCCTTCTTAAACTACCAATTGTTTACCTTTAAAACTATTATTTCAGTTATTTCATTATAAGTAATTATTTATATCTACTGCTACTGCTATACTAAAATGTCTTAGCTGAGCCAGTAGAATGGGCCTAGTAAGGCGTGTAGGTGTAGCCTCAAGATGGGTGTGGCCCTGCCTCTTTGTGCCACGTAATGGCGGCTGGAGGGAAGGACAAGGCTTGGCAAACAAGTAGTTAATTATGTGTATGAACCAACTGTCTGCTCAGATTCTTGAAGCTCCTCTCACAATTTACCTGTATGGGATGCAAGGAATTAATCAAAGTTCCCTAAACATATCAATTACAGGTATGACATGAACTGTGAGGGTGGTAATGGGGTACACGTACGGTGTTTTTGGGGATGTCCTACGACATAACCATCTACATATTTATATTAAACAGTGCACTTGAATAATAAACAATAAGATTAGACATTAAGATATACATTTAGATTGATCGAAGGGCAATGCAATCTTGATACAAACAAATACTTTTGATGCTACTCAGTAAAACAACTGGTAAGATTGGTTTTAATATTACACATAATTGTTTTCTTTTTCAATTTTGCTTCACGATACCAAATATGTTTTATCTAGTCAATGGATAACTGTAGGCTGTAAATGTCTTGCCGGGGCAGGTAATTGTCAGTAATACTGTACAATTGTTTAACAAAATTGAACAAAAAGTTTCCTTTAAATCCGTGATATGTATTGTGTCAACTTCCTTAAGACCTTAAGCCCAGCCAAACTAGCTGGGAAGAAGTACATCAGTACTTCGGCCCTGATGTACCGCAGTACATCATCCCGCTGTAAGTTAACGAGTCCTTAATTAAGCGAGTCCTGCTAAGCCAGTCCTGTTAAACGAGTCCAACACACTTAAGCGAGTGTGTCGCTGTAACCAGTAGCACCTGTAACAGGAATATTGACCACACTGCAGTGATATAATTAATATTAATAATTACTATCGACCACCAATAAGTGGTCCTTTGTGAACCAATATTGCTCGCACTCTGTATGATAAGTTGTTTAATGTAACTAAACTAATCTCATCATAATGAAGTGTTCCTATGAACGTGGGACGCCTGCATCTTCGCCTCGAGTAAACTTCCATTTCACTAATGACTGGCGTTGTCCAGTAGTCCTGCAGAGAGGAAGATGTTTGTGGTCGTTGTATATCATGAACCTCTACAGCCACTCGACTAAGGGTGTACTTTCACCCGTCACCTTTACTCCTTGTTCCTGGCAAGAGTAACTCTCCTTACCTCCCCGATGTTAGCGTCTCTTTCACCTTCTTACATCACTCAACGATCACTGAAACCCTCGCTACTACCTTCATCACCCCTACACAATGGTGGTGGGGAATTGGGGTGACACAGCTGCCGTTGGTGTTAATTGAAGCACTCGAAATGGTGGTGGTGGTTGTGGTGGTGGAGGTGACAGTGGTGGGGTGTTGGTGACAGTGGTGGGGGTGGTAGTATAGTGCCATAGTTATATATTAATGTGGCAGTGCAGCACCGTAGAGTTATTCATATTATCCCACACCCGCACTAGAACCTTGCGTACGCCTAGCCACTGAGAGATCAAGTAGAAGGACACACTCAATTCACATATTAATAATAATAATAATCAGTTCAATCCTTTCGCTGCTCGTTGGAAACAGGAATCCATCAGCCTTATCTGCTTGGATATATTCGTATTTTATGATGGAAAGCTTTCTCGCATTAGCTGGGTGTATCCCTCACTCCATAGACTCCTGGAGGGCACGCCCCTCTCCGTCCCTCATCTCTATTGACCTAAACCTATCCCGAGCCTAGCCTAACTTAAACTTAGCCTAACTTAAATATCCCAAACTTGATTCTAGCAGCTTTGCGTATATAAGGTGACTGGAAAAAATTTAATTTATTGTTTTGTTCACTATTAATAGGACCTCTCTTGCTGCTTTCACCATCTCTACTACAGAAGCTGCTGCTGTTTCTGTTGTTCCTGATGTTGCTAGTACTACTGTTGTTGCTGCTGCTGCTGCTGCTGTTCCTGCTGCTATTGTAGTACTTCTGCTCCTGCTGTTCCTGCTCCTATTGTAGTACTTCTGCTGCTGCTGTTGCTGCTGCTATTGTAGTACATCTGCTGCTGCTGTTCCTGCTCCTATTGTAGTACTTCTGCTGCTGCTGTTGCTGCTGCTATTGTAGTACATCTGCTGCTGCTGTTCCTGCTCCTATTGTAGTACTTCTGCTGCTGCTGTTGCTGCTGCTATTGTAGTACATCTGCTGCTGCTGTTCCTGCTCCTATTGTAGTACTTCTGCTGCTGCTGTTCCTGCTGCTATTGTAGTACTTCTGCTGCTGCTGTTGCTGCTGCTATTGTAGTACATCTGCTGCTGCTGTTCCTGCTCCTATTGTAGTACTTCTGCTGCTGCTGTTGCTGCTGCTATTGTAGTACATCTGCTGCTGCTGTTCCTGCTCCTATTGTAGTACTTCTGCTGCTGCTGTTCCTGCTGCTATTGTAGTACTTCTGCTGCTGCTGTTGCTGCTGCTATTGTAGTACATCTGCTGCTGCTGTTCCTGCTCCTATTGTAGTACATCTGCTGCTGCTGTTCCTGCTCCTATTGTAGTACATCTGCTGCTGCTGTTGCTGCTGCAATTTCAAATACAACAACTGCCTCCATTTCTGTTGTATATTAGTATACTGTTTTTCTAGATAGACCTATATAAATATTGCAAACCTCAAATTTGAAACTAATAATCATATTCTGAGTGAAAGCGGGAATGGTAAGATGTAAGGGCATGAGTAAGCTGGTGATGAAGCTGGAGAGCCTTGAGTCACAGCACTGGCGGCCACCCCCGCCTGACTCACCCTGAGTCATCTCCATCACGCTGGCTCCTGCCACATCTTCTCATTTCACACCGAAATTGATCTTTGCTAAAGATGAACCTTACGTTTTAGCCGTTCTATATTATTAGATAAATCCATAAATAATATATAGACCAACAACATATTTATACATATATATATACATATATAAATATTCACACTTTAGAGGATAAATACATAATTGTGAAAGCGTGGCAGCGGCCAGCAGGGGAACAAATACCTCCAGCCTCCCTGGAATCCGCCAATCTTCCCGCCTGAAGTCTGCAGGAACATCGACCTCCCGCAACTCCGCGCCACTCTGACCCGCCGCAGTACAACGTACAAGAATATTGCGGTCCGTAGCTCTCAACTTTTCGTATATAATAATCTCCTGAGGTCCGAGGTGATCGAATTATTGTATAAGTGTGAGACGTTAAGCGAGACGTGTAAGTATTAAGCGTCGTGTGAGACTTGAGGGCCTTGGGGTCGTTGGGCGCTTGTGGTCGGAGTCTTCAAGTACCTCCATTTCGTAAACAGAACGGTAGCAAAATATAGTGAACATACATTTTTGTTTTAACAAAGAGCTTTTCCGTATTGAAATTCCGTATTAAAAATATAGATAATCAGTAATATAATGAACATAGTGTGGTAGAATGCTAATTATCGATAATGCTTTGTCTGTTGAATGTCGCTTCGGTCCTGCAAGTTTTCCATTCATATATTGCTTCTCTATATCGACATTTTATCTCCGCAGATGTCTGACCAGGAGGCCCAGAAGGAGGTGAAAGAGGAAGTGAAGGAGAGAAAGGAGAGCGAGGAAACTGAAGAGAAGAAGGAAAGAGAAGAAAACAGCAGAGCCTCGACAGGCACAAGTACTCCCGAGCCCAAAGCCCAGGAGAACGGAGAGGAGACGCCCGGTACGTCCTGCTGGGGTGTCTTGAGGGCAGTGAAGGTGGATGAGTAAGTGACTCATAGCCACAGGCTGAGGTAAAGGCGGATGAGTAAGTGACTCATAGCCACAGGCTGAGGTAAAGGCGGATGAGTGACTCATAGCCACAGGCTGGGGTAAAGGCGGATGAGTAAGTGACTCATAGCCACAGGCTGAGGTAAAGGCGGATGAGGAAGTGACTCATAGCCACAGGCTGAGGTAAAGGCGGATGAGTAAGTGACTCATAGCCACAGGCTGGGGTAAAGGCGGATGAGGAAGTGACTCATAGCCACAGGCTGAGGTAAAGGCGGATGAGTAAGTGACTCATAGCCACAGGCTGAGGTAAAGGCGGATGAGTGACTCATAGCCACAGGCTGAGGTAAAGGCGGATGAGTGACTCATAACCACAGACTGAGGTAAAGGTGCATGAGGAAGTGACTCATAGCCACAGGCTGAGGTAAAGGCGGATGAGGAAGTGACTCAATACTCCTTGGCCGTGTTGTTAAATGCTATTGTCTATTTAGTTTGATGGATGTAGCCTAAGTTGTCTTAGGCTCAAATCCCTGGCTATTGTTTTTATTTATTTAATAAAATACAATATAAATCATATATGCATAACTTTTACAAGGCAGTACTACATTACATATACAGTAGTATAATTCTCAGTAAACAAGTGTTTCATTATCACAGAATATGAATTTGCAACTTGTTGTACTCTCTGTTAATGGGGATGTATATATATATATATATATATATATATATATATATATATATATATATATATATATATATATATATATATATATATATATATATATATATATATATATATATATATATATATATATATATATATATATATATGGCAACAGGAGTCATGATACGATGGTGTATGGAAGAAGACATGAGAGGAAATGACTAATTCTCCCTCTTAGTTCCAAAACGTGAAGGAAACCATTGAATCATTGAATAAACTGATCCCAGCACTCTCACAAGTCACCAAGATGTATAGTTCTTCCAGCCAAATTAACAACAGCCGCTAAATTACTGTATAATTCTATCAGATTGATTTGGATAGTTAATAATTCCCGCAGTACTTAAATCTATTACACATGGTTACTGGGTCAGCAGGATAACCATTCAATTAGTCTAGGTGATACATCCACCACCTATAGTTTTGGTGAGTAGGGGAGCTGCCTCTTATGTTTGAGTACCATTCCCTCACCCCCGTCCTTGTTATCCCAGCTCATATCCTGCCCTCATATCCCAGATCCTATCCTGCCCTCATATCCCAGCTCCTATCCTGCCCTCACATGCCTCACAAGTGGAATAACGAGCATATCTCTCAGGTACGCCCAAGGCCCTCACTCTACGGGAGCAGTTTAGGAACTTCAGCAAGTTCGGGGACACGAAGAGTGATGGGAAGATGATCACACTGTCGCAGGCGGACAAGTGGTTCAAGCAAGCCAAGGTCATCGACGGCAAGACCATCACCACCACCGACACAGCCATCACATTCAACAGGTTCAAGTAAGCCTACAAAAGTTTTCTTATTTATTTTTTAGTTTTGATCATTTATTATGTAGCCTATCCCGTGGGTGGTAATGGGAGAGGCTACAGAGGTATATAAATTGGCTCTGGAATTGAGCCCCAATTAAAATCATTTGGCTAAGCAATTTACAGTTTTGTCAGGCTTCATCGTTCGGGAATTCTAACACAGATTTCCAAAATATTTGCGACTGATATATTAATGTAATAATTTTAAACAACAGGATGATGTATTCATAGGATTATATATTACTGATCTTAGTTGACATTGTAATATAAATAATCAGTAGCCCTATGATGTGATATGAAAGTAATAACTTACGCCATGTTATATACAGCTCTCGGGTACTTATATTCTGTTTGCTGAAATTTTGGCGAGTAAATCAAACATTGCCTCAGTTCTACAGATCGCTACATAACACGTTGTTTTATGAACTGTTTCTTATCTTCATTAAATATTTTAATATGTATAATCTCTTTCTCAGGACAAAGAAGATTTCCTTCACAGACTTTGAGAAGTACTTGGACGAGATTGCTAAGTCCAAGAAATTGGAGGGAAAGGATATTAAAACGAAGTTGAAGGAGTGTGGAGCGCCTGGAACATCAGGCACTACGGTACGTGTGTGTGTGTGTGTGTGTGTGTGTGTGTGTGTGTGTGTGTGTGTGTGTGTGTGTGTGTGTTTACTAGTTGTGTTTTTGCGGGGGTTGAGCTTTGCTCTTTCGGCCCGCCTCTCAACTGTCAATCAACTGTTTACTAACTTTTTTTTTTTTTTTTTTTTTTTTCTCCACACCACACACACACCCCAGGAAGCAGCCCGTGACAGCTGACTAACTCCCAGGTACCTATTTACTGCTAGGTAACAGGGGCACTTAGGGTGAAAGAAACTTTGCCCATTTGTTTCTGCCTCGTGCGGGAATCGAACCCGCGCCACAGAATTACGAGTCCTGCGCGCTATCCACCAGGCTACGAGGTCCCACATGTGTGTGTGTGTGTGTGTGTGTGTGTGTGTGTGTGTGTGTGTGTGTGTGTGTGTGTGTGTGTGTGTGTGTGTGTGTGTGTGTGTTTACCATTTAGGTACATGTGTGTATTTACTATTTGTATTTACTGTTTGTGTCTGCAGAATCGAGCTGTTAGTTCTTGGACCCAATTTTTAGTTCTGGACTCAATCCCTTGGGTCCAAAGGAGGGGACCTCCCCTCTTCTCCTCCTCCCTTGGACCCAATCTAATTTTCCTCTATTATGTCTACCAAATATATTTCTCTTTAAAAGACGCACTCACGCATGCGCGCACTCACATCCCCAGGAAGCACCCCGTAGCAGTTGTCTAACTCCCAGGTACCTATTTACTGCTAGGTGAACAGGAGCATAGGGGTGAAAGAAACTCTGCCCATTTGTTTCTGCCTCGGCCGGAAATCGAACCCGGCCCCTTAGAACTACGCGATCTCAGAGCGCTGTCCACTTAGCCGCGAGGCCCCCAGCATATGTGTGTGTGTGTGCTTGCGGGTGTTGAGCTCTGGCTCTTTGGTCCTGCCTCTCAACGGTCAATCAACTAGTTTTTTATTTATTTTTTATTTGTGTGTGTGTGTGTGTGTGTGTGTGTGTGTGTGTGTGTGTGTGTGTGTGTGTGTGTGTGTGTGTGTGTGTGTGTGTGTGTGTGTGTGTGTGTGTGTGTGTTCGACTAATATTTCTCACTAATTATGTCTACAGGATCGTACGTCAGCGTTTGAGCCTTGAATTTTCAGCTGTGGGTCATCTCTGGCGCTTGACCCACTAGATTGTTATCAGGTCTACATTTATATCTATGCATAGTATTAGCCTCGATTACCTCCGTAACTAAATAATTTCATGTATTCACTTCTCTTAGGCTAATGTAATATTTCTTTCCATTTCGTTGAGTCATGTGTATTTCTAATCGTTCATCGTTGCCCTCTCGTTCTACATCTGTTGTATGTGTTTCCCCTTGTCGACAATGTCGCGATCATGTCTCTTCTTTATCGTACATTTCCTGCCCCTTATGTAATATTTAAAGATCCAGCTCGATTAGTGTTTCCACATACATCAATCATGTCTCCTCTGGAGCCAATCTTTTTTATCTTACTCTTACTTTTATTAAACTTATGTTGCTGCTTCTCACTCCAACACTTTAACCTGTCTTGTGAATATTTTAGTCTTCCTTTGAGTCTATTCTGTTTAATCTTTCGATATCTGCGAACTTTGACATGCAACTATTCCAAACATTATATCGTTGACACAGATCAAGCATAACATCAGTTATTCCCCTACATAACTGCAATTCTATATTAAGAAGAGAGAATGTCTCTTTGTCCAGTGTTGGAAATCAGATACTTGGGGCTAGTCTCACCAAACTTTGCAAGAAGAATCGTTTGGCAAATGGGACGGACATTGGCTGGTCAGGGGTCGTCACAAGAGGGAACATCATGCCAGGGTTTCAACTATCTGACCCCCACGACGAATTTATCATTGCCAGCCAGAGAAAAGTTGGAGGGGAATGAGATTTCTCCATCCCCCCCCCCCCCCCCGAAAGATGGCGGGGGTGGAGGGGGCCAGATGGAGAGGGTGGGAGACTGGGAATTAGAGGTGAGAGGAGATAAAGTTGTAAAGAGGATATGGAAAGAGACATGAGAGAGGGAGAAGGTGAGGAAGGGGGAAGGGAGATCCAGGCCAGAGTCGGGTACACCCCTACCCACCTAGCATGACTACATAGTACTCAAAAGGGATAAGAGGACAAGGAGCCGAGATATGAGGACGCACTCAAGGAACGGTGCTCAACCACTTAGACAATCGGAGAACAAACCCCGACCCTGCAAAAAAGCGAGGCTATTGCTGTACCAACGAACACAAGTGGCTGGGCACACGCCTCCAAGTACCATCTTATTTTTGTGCAATCTCATTTCTGTGGGCTAATGTCCTTTCCTCATTCCCTATGTTCTCTTGCCTTTATTTTCGATTCTTCAGTTACCTTTTATATGTGTACACTGCGTACAATAACACGAAGGTTACTTTTTCGATAGTTTTAAACGATGTCTTCCACAGCACCCCAAGGCCTTGTGAAAGTTGTCCAACACTCATGGGAGGCTGAAGTATCCTGCTCAATACTCGTGTTGCCTTGGGTCATGTACACGTTACTCCACATGTTTTCTCTTATCATCATTATGTCGAAGACTTTTATGTGTTATCGGTCGAGTTTTTTTTGCAACTGGTTTGCTGCAGCAATTTTAGCTGTTAGTGTTCCGGGGAGGTCACTTTTGTCTATGTAGAATATTTAGATAGTCATTCCTTAATTCTTGATGAATGTAGAATTCCAGAAATCTTGAAGCGGAGTGCATGAAATAGCACTCTGGAGAAATAGAGCATGAAGAACTCTGAAGTAGTCAAGGCAGCATTTCAGAGTCCAGACGAGTACGGGTGACACCCGAGACGTGAGTGGAAGTTGGTGTCGTTTATGAAGAATCCATTAGGGGTATTAATCTTCAGTGTGTCTAGTGGTTCACCGAAGACCGAGTCTGTGTGGCCTCAGTGTTTCACTAATTTATTTCTCGTGCCCAGTAAATGTTCCATATAATTTAATATTATTATGTTTGACGTATGTAAATTATAAAAATGGTAATGACGGTGATTTTTCTTAAACCAGAATGTAGTGAAGAGCAGTGCCGTGGACCGCCTCACAGACACCAAGAAGTTCACTGGCTCTCACAAACTGCGCTTCGACTCAGCCGGGCGAGGGAAGGGGATATCTGGCCGCAAAGACACCCCAGACACTTCTGGCTACGTGGCTGGCTACAAGAATAAGAACACCTACGACAAGAGCCATTAAAAAATGTATCACAACTTCTATCAAAAGCATTACAACATGGGCTGCTAAAATATCTTGGGTCGGAAGTTCTGGAAGGGCCAGGATTCACCAAACATTTTTCGTTTCCACTTACGAAGCCTCAACATCTTTCCTTAATCAAAGCGGTTTAACGATATTATCCTTAACAATAATAACCTTGCTTCAAGAATCCTCGCTGCCTTTCGAAGGTCGTAAATTGTTTAATTAATACAGACTAAGTCGTCATGATCGAAGAAAGATGAACAGGTTTCTTAAGCGTACACTTAAATGCTTAGGGAATTCTAACCTGCAAATGGACAGGATCTTCCTTATACCTGTAATGCAACACCAGCCACTGTTTTTCTCCTCTAAGAACAACGTTTCATTTATATTTTTTCCAACACCGTCTTAAAACACAAGAAAACACACTGGTTTGTGAACTCTATATATTAGTGTGACCAGTGTGTGTTCTGGCTCGTGTTCTGTGTAGTGTGGACGCCACATTAATCGGTTCTTGTACTTTATGTATATATTTAAAACAATAAATTCAGCAAATTATAATGCATTAAACTAGGTTTCTTGGTCAATTTATCAGCATTGTAAGAGAAATATTTTCCATAAGCAATTAATAATATATTAGTGAAAATTATCTGTTTGGCTAGAAAAATTCCCATAATGAGCCATAAGGCAGTGGATGATTGTTATTTTTAAATTTTCCCTCGATTTTAGATTATAACAAGAAATATTAGAACTATTCATAACAAATTATGTTCTTTCAAAATACGTTTGTAGTGTTATTTGGTCAATTACCTTCGTTCTAAATATCGATACAATTTGGATTACATTAATATATATATGTTTGATTAAAGCGTCTTGAATTTTAAATTAACAAAAAACATCTATCAAGATTAATATTATTATATTTTTATTATCATATCAGGGTGTAACGGGTACAAAATCACACTATGTGTTATGTTTAGCTATGTATGAAGGGCGTGTCACAGTTCCCAAATATATTGTGAGGCGTTGTGCAGCTGGACTAGGCTGGTGGGCGAGATGCTTAGGCAGTGAGCGAAGCCTCACTGATTAGTCTCCTGGAGAGACAGCTACACATGTGAACGCAGGTGATGTGTTGCATATGTGTAAACTTGTGACTGACCGTTGTTGCACGTGTAAACCAGTGACTAGACTAGACTGATGGCTCAGGTCTGCATCATGAGTGTGTTTAAAAGCTCACGCGGTATGGTGAGTGTGCCCTTCTCCTGCTAGTAGCTCTGTGGGATTTCAAACAACATTTGCCATTACAAGGTGCCTATATGTCATTTTTCAAAGATTTTCATAAGCATTAGTTTAGTGCATGGATATGCTGTATTTCATAGTACTTAACTCCCCACCCCCACTCCCGTTACACTGTCACATTCGTATAAATTAAACAGTATTTTGCAATACAGTATAGAGCTAAGTTAATTCAAAATCCCACATCGTTACATAATATTGAGTGCGCCGTGTACATTTTGTCGCACATTGCCTTCATGAACTCCTAGCTTCAAAACTGAAAAAGAAAGAATTATTTCTGTTCTCTATCAGCCATTAAGCTTGTGTGTGCGTGTGGATATTACATTCTGTAATTGTACTGTAGTTTTGAAACTGTGTTATTAAATTAAGTGTTCGAGCGACCTAGATTTGTAAGGCTAATAAAGTCCTAGTATCTAATTTTCTTTTACCAACTGTAAGTGTATATGTCTCAGATCATGAACAATATTAGTCAAAGCAATCACTATTTTTTTTCAATAAGTATTTTACCGTGATGACAAATATTTAAATACAGGATTTTTGTCACATAAGCCTTATGTACATGACTTAATATGCGTACCACATTATCCTCGTCGGAAAAATCAATAACGCAATAGGGACTTTGAAAATGCCCTGAAAAGTAATTTATGTTTAAATGTAATACTTTGGGCACTGCCCGGTACTGCTGTTCCACCTTACAAGCTTCAAGTGTCAAATATTGACCACCACAAACTCAAGTACAAGAACACCTGCTACTCTCCCCCTCCTGACACGGCAATGGCTACTAACCCCACCCACGTCACATATGGTCCAAGAAGTTGCAATGCCTTGGGAAGTCACAAACCGATTTTCTATTGGTTATAGAATTTCACTTAATTTTAACCATGTGTTTTTGCTTTTACAGGAGCATTTCGGCACGGTGAAGTGACCAGTTATAAATAATAATAATAATTATATAGCGCAGAACATAGGCTACTGAAGCTATACTGTAGTTATACTGGCAGCGTCACTGCCACTGATCATGCTTAGCTTTGTATGAGATCACTTGATAATCCACCTGCTTGGAACTCCTAGTATATACCGCACAAGTCTAGGAAGGATAGTAGTGAATGATGGTCGAGTTTCTTGGTTAGGCCGTGTGGGAGCGTGATTTCCATCATTCATTGGCCGCTCTAGTAACATTAACTTAACAGGAAAAAAGAGTAATAACATCAATGAAATTGTTAATGATAATGAACAATGCAAACAGAAATGAAATACATAACATATCGTTTAGCGTTGTTAAGGAGAGAGAAATGGCGATAGTGAGTCAGCCGGCCGCACTCTACTAAACAAAAGCTATCCTAACTAAATCTAACTTATCCTAATAGAGTGCATGAGCACAGAAAAAAATGGTATATAGCGAAGAAAACCTGTCTAGTTTGTATACGTCTACCTCAGTAGCCGTTTACTTAAAAGATATATAAAAATAATATAGTAAATGGCATCAGACTGACAAAGGCACAAATAAATCAGACAACCTCAGCTGGGACAGCCTAGCACACAATAAACCATTCCAGCATGTCCAAAACTACTGTATGTCATCCCAGTTCTGGTATTGTTTGCTAGACGTGTTAAAATGAATAGGAAAACACAAAGATTGTGATATATATTTGATCTCATGACATTTACTGCATTTGAAACTATAGCTCTAATATATATATTAGTCATTAACTGAGCCCAGTGTTGGTCAGTTATAACGCGATAGCTTCTGATTTCCCAGGGCAACGGGTTGTCAATATTTTTACTTGCTGAGCTGATTATAATATTGTGTGTGGTAGAGGTGTAGGCTGGCGTGATCTCCACCACAGCCGTTATGTATGATATTTTTGCACTCGGTCATCACTGCCAGCTGTTTGTTTAGTCAGGTAATATTTTCAATGTAAAACCTGTTGAAAATTTGGATTACATGAATATAAGTGTAGCCAATAATGGACGTGTAATAAAAATTGTAATCTCAACAAGTTGATTTCATATCCATTTTTTCCTCGAATGCCACATTATATTTAACATAAGAATACAGATAACTATAGACAGCTCCTTTTTGTGTCAAACTTAACTTATTCATTAATAAGTCTAACTTTCGCTTGAAGCAATTCCGGTAATTTATTCTATAAGTCAACAACCCTATTCCCCAAACCAATATGTATCCAGGTCTTTTCTGAATCTGAAATTTTCCAATTATTATACATTGTTGCGTGTTCCATTCATCTTCGTTACCTAACACCTTATTAATTAATAACCTCTTTGAAATATACAAATGGACGAGATAGTATAACAATCATCATGTAAATGAGGCTGTCTTAATCCCTCTACTTACGAGAGGTTTCTATTTCCTGTCTACTATAGTGCTTTCAATAATGTCGAGTGCTACCAGGATAACCAACAGTTCAACTTGCAAGGTGGATTCCCAGTTACTGATATATTTTTTCAATTGTGTGCGTGGGGGACGGGGTAGGAAACCACATTTAAATCGGCCGCCGGCGGGAGCATTTCCCTCCTCCAGGTTATACTCGGTGGTGATTGGCTGAGCCAACCCCGGGGCGCGCGCCCCTGGCAGAGTTGACGACTTCACCGTGCTAAGCAGACGCCAGAGAACCCACCCGTTAGACTTTGGACTTTTTTTTTCTACCTTCTGGCAGAATACCTGAAGTTCGCCATCTCCGATCTCAACCCAATCTACCTCCGGAACCTAGTGCTACGTCCGACACCACCCCCTAGAAGACTGCAGACTCAAGGTGAGCCTCTTAATTCCGTAACTCTTGTTAACTCGTGGAGGAGCGCCATTTTTAACCAAGCTCCTCAATATGCGTTTCAATCGGGCTGGTCAACAATGGCAAACACTTCCCGCCCTCCCTGTAGCTGAATTGAGTGACCCGTCTGTGTAATGTTGTTTTTAGTTTGCAGAGTATGTATGTGTTCTGTGAGAACACAGTGCGCATCCAGCTGATCTTAGCTTCCCAGCTACTGATATCTCTTGCTGCATATATGCAATATATTTTTTTTGCATTCTAACATTTACTCAGCATTGAGTGGCAGCGCCCCGGATAGTCTGTCTCGCCTCCTACCCCCGATTCCACCCCTTCCCCTATCACCCCCCCCCAATCTCCCTACCCTAGGGAGCCGGTCGGCCGAGCGGACAGCACGCTGGACTTGTGATCCTGTGGTCCCGAGGTCGATCCCGGGCGCCGGCGAGAAACAATGGGCAGAGTTTCTTTCATCCTATGCCCCTGTTACCTAGCAGTAAAATAAGTACCTGGGTGTTAGTCAGCTGTCACGGGCTGCTTCCTAGGGGTGGAGGCCGGCCTGGTCGAGGACCGGGCCGCGGGGACACTAAAGCCCCGAAATCATCTCAAGATAACCCTCTCCCTCCAACGGACAGAAGGGGTAACCGGCTGCACTCGTGTCTCTTTACCCCCCCCCCCCCACCCCTCCTCTTTCCACCCCTTTCCTTGTCCCCATCCCCTTGGTCACCCCCTACCCCCTTCGTCTCTTCCCCAGTCCTCCAACCCTGCATTCCCCCTCTCCCTTTCTATCAAAATTAATTATTAAGAAGTGAAAAACTGTATAGGTCTCAGAAAATATAACTCTTATATTCTCATATAAGCCTAACGTGTATGAATACACTGGCTGCCTGCTCCGACGCAATGAATTATTACATTGAGGGTCTCGGTAGTACAGTCGGGTTTGTTCTTGACGCACAATCGAGAAGTCCGTGTTCGAATCCCGGGCGGGACAAATAGTTGGGCACATTTCCTTTCACCTAATGCCGCTCTTCGCCTAACTGCAAGTAGGTACTCAGGAGTTAGTCAGCTTGTTGTGGAGTTGCATCCTGGGCGGGGTCAGTAATTCGACCCTGGGAGGGGGGGGGACCTCGATAAAAGCCTAACGCAAAAACCAGAGAATACACTCTGGCTTCCTGTCCCCCGACACATTGAATTATTATACGCCTAACAAGCCATCCTTCATAGTATCCCCTAAACCACCGCTCAGCGCCTCCTCAGCCACCACAGAAAACGAACAAAAACACTCAGGATAAACCCTATACTATAGCAAACTCAGCAAGCGGCTTTCCCCGCTTACTTTGTCACCCACACCAGGCACTACCACTCCTATGCCAGCCAGACAAGAACGACCACGTAGTCAGAGGGTTCTAGAAATTCCTCTCAAACTAGGAATGCAGCACTGTACACGAGTCTTCCTAAAATAAAATAAATTACATTGAGTAAAGAGCATCTTAATCGAATGGTGACCATGAATGTTAAAGGATAAATACGCAGTTAATATAGATTACACAACACTGACACAAACAGGACATTCTTAAAATTTACACAATTTAACGTTAGGCTATATTTTAATTCGACATTTTTGGGGTGGCGAGGACAGAAATGTTTTCTGCGGGACTTGTTCATATACGGTTTTAACACACATTACTTCTGTCAACTTATTATCCACAGAGTATTTTACACAACTTTATCAACGATCCCTTGGGGGGGGGGGGAATCCAATGATTCCTAGAATTGAGGAAGCATAATTTATCATTGAGCTGGGAGTGGTATAACGGCCAACTGCTGTTGTCTAGTGTACCCCATTCCTGGCTAACATGATATGACTCCATGTTACTAATACCCCAATTTGGTTATTATCCATTTTCTACACTAACATACCACTTGATACTTCTGAGAAGACGATAAGAAAATCGATCACTCATTATATATAACAATTATTTTGACATTTTCCCTCAAATGTCTACATATCAGCTTCACATCAAAATATACAGATGTTGTATCATTACGGTTGTCCAACGTTTGATGTTCAAATTACAGTTTCTTCTTCGTTAACTACCGAATACGTAATAATAACTCACGGTCTCTAGTGATCCAAGAGTATGTACAACACGTAACCGACACTTGAAGACTGTTATTCGCTGCGCTAGTGGCCTCGGTCCAAGAGTTGACATTCCCATACCACTGATGCTTCCACTTAAGTATCACCATTGTGCCTTCCAGCCCTGAAAGTTGCTCGGACAATTTACCAAGGCCTGCCCGAGCGGTGTTCCCACAGAGTACAGGTGCGGTCAGCACACCTTGCTGACTGACAGCGCTCCCTGCCCCCACACACGATGTTACCTCCGCCCAGCCCCACTATTGATCAAAGTTGACGGAGACGCCGACGTATCCAAGTGTAACTAGCTGTCGGACCTTATGGTCGTTCATGTTCCAAGTAAGGGATAATTATCTTTTGTGGTCACCAAATGGCCGGCGAGACACGGGAACCGCAACAATACTTAGTGGCCGATTTTACCGAGACCGGGAGACCTGATGTGTAGCTTTTAAGCAACACGTACATCACTAACTCACACGAGAGCAACAGTATGGCTACAACACATACCAATCACTTGATGAGGCACATAAAGGGAGTTGCAATACTAACAAAATTTATACAAAAAGGAATCGGAAGGAAGGACGGAGGGGGGGGGGGGAATAATTACAAATATTTCGTATATGTATACTGTATATATATGTACTCAACTAGTTGTGCTTGCGGGGTTTGAGCTCTGGCTCTTTGGTCCCGCCTGTCAATCAACTGATGTACACGTTCCTGAGCCTGCTGGGCTCTATCATACCTACATTTGAAACTGTGTATGGAGTCAGCCTCCACCACATCACTTCCTAATGCATTCCATTTACCAACCACTCTTGACACTAAAAAAGTTCGTTCTAATATCTCTGTTATCTCATTTGGGCGCTCAGTTTCCACTTGTGTCTCCTAGTGCGTGTGCCCCTTGTGTTAAAGAGGCTGTCTTTATCTACCTTATTAATTCCTTTGAGAATCTTGAATGTGGTGATCATGTCCCCACTAACTCTTCTATCTTCCAGGGACGTGAGGAATTCCCGTAGTCTCTCCACGTAGCTCATAACTCTCAGCTCAGGTACTAGTCTGGTGGCAAACCTTTGAACCTTTTCCAGTTTAGTCTTATCCTTGACTAGATATGGACTCCATGCTGGGGCTGCATACTCCAGGATTGGCCTGACATATGTGGTATACAAAGTTCTGAATGATTCCTTACACAAGTTTCTAAAGGCCGTTCTTATGTTGGCCAGCCTGGCATATGCCGCTGATGTTATCTTCTTGACTGGCATATGCCGCTGATGTTATCTTCTTGATATGGGCTGCAGGGGACAGGCGTGATATCAACCCCCAGGTCTTTTTCTCTCTCTGACTCTTGAAGAATTTCCTCTCTCAGATGATACCTTGTATCTGGCCTCTTGCTCCCTACGCCTATCTTCATTACATTACATTTGCTTGAGTTAAACGCTTAACAATCATTTGTTCGACTATTCCTTCAGCTTGTCTAGATCTTCTTGAAGCCTCAAGCAGTCCTCCTGTCTTAATCTCATAATTTTGGCATCGTCAGCAAACATTGAGAGAAATGAGTCTATACCCTCCGGGAGATAATTTACGTATATCAGAAACAGGATAGGACCGAGTACAGAGCCCTGTGGGACTCCACTGGTGACTTCACGCCAATTTGAGGTCTCACCCCTCATTGTAAATCTGTTTCCTGTTGCCTAGGTACTCCCTTTTCCACTGGAGCACCTTTCCAGTTACTCCTGCCTGTCTCTCCAGCTTATGTACCAGCCTCTTTTGGGGTACTGTGTCAAAAACTTTCCGACAATCCAAGAAAATGCAGTCCGCTCAGCCTTCTCTTTCTTGCTTAATCTTTGTCACCTGGTCGTAGAATTCTATTAAGCCAGTAAGGCAAGATTTACCCTCCCTGAACCCATGTTGGCGATTTGTCACGAAGTCCCTTCTCTCCAGATGTGTTACTAGGTTTTTTCTCACGATCTTCTTCATCACCTTGCATGGTATACAAGTCAAGGACACTGGCCTGTAGTTCAGTGCCTCTTGTCTGTCACCCTTTTTGTATATTGGGACCACCGTCGCCGTCTTCCATATT